CAAAGCACCGGGTTACGACTCAGACTGTGAGACTGTTTATTTTCTTATGTTTGTGAACCGCGTGCGTGTACGACTTTAGTACTGTATGCGCAATAGTTTTTTTCGTCGAATATAGCTTTTTTTGTTTTCCTCACAGTCTCCATCTTCCTCGCGTCACACGCCCTGCTACGTGACGAACCTAACCACGACACCCTTGCTATCTGTCGCGATAGTTATAAATTTATATTAGACTCCAAAGAAGCTTGCCGAATCTTTTAACTGGGATGGATTTTAGCGCTAGCTGCCAAAACTCTTGAATGTTGGCCTTGGTAGGTTACCCCTTTCCCCATTCAGTAATCTGGAAGACTGGCCTTCATGGCCTCGAAGGCAACGAGGCGTGACACGCTGCCGCCCACGTACTCATATTCCGGGTCACTTCCTCGCCCACCGATGCCCATTGTGATCTCTAAGAAAATGTTCCTGTCGACTTTTAAAGATATATATATATATATATATATATATATATATATATATATATATATATATATATATATATATATATATATATATATATATATATATATATGACGCTATGATGAATGGGAGACGTGGCCTGGCTCATACGCCATGTTTATTCTACTGTCACTTCTTCCTCATCTACTTCTCCTAACCATCCCTGCCTTCTTACGTCACAGGATTCCCCCTCCCCCCGAAAGAATGCTCGCGTTACATATTACAATATATGATGAACAAGCAATCCTGGAACACAAAAATTGTCTAAATGGGCTGTAGTTCCACATCACATTGAAGTTCCGTAAGATCGCTTAGACTTCACAAGAGAGGGCAGCAATCCAGCGTTATCAAGTACGGCTCTGGTGGGCGAGGCTGGCTGGTACACTCTGGATGACATAAGCATGCTTTGGGCGTGGAAACCGATGGAAACGCAGCCAGCGTTCTTTCGAGGAATGAACGAGGCTGGAATTCCTTGCAAAATCGACAGTTTTGTTGGCGTCGCATTTTTCATCGTGAGTGACACAAACGCGGTGCATGCAGTTTGCATGCCCGTTGATCGTGGATGATTGGGCACTGCTTGTGTTCCTGCAGAGTACAAGCAGTTGTTTTGTGGCGTTTAGGGAGTTTTCTATGGCGATGGCACAGATGTTCAGACCGAAGGCGCAATCTTGAACGCTGGTGCAGAAAGGTGCCTTGGCTTTTCTTTCTGTGAAGATGGCTGAAATGCGGAATCAGTCTTTTCTGTAGTGGTCGTTGTGGTGGCGGTGGCGGTTGTGGTGGCCGTTGTTCATGACATTTTTTAAGCCGCAAGTATGCTAGCGATGTCACTTTAGTTCTTCTTTGACCTTGTTGGTGTGGCCGTTTTAGCTGCTGGGCCTCTCCTTGTTGCTTTTGTTGGCATTGCCTATGTTGCACTATCTGACGAGGTGAACTTCCTTTAGAAGCATGAGCCCGCTTTTCTTTATAGGTTGATGTGACCAGCAAATAGTTGATACTTGTTAGGGTGTCGCGATTCGTGTCAGGCAATGGAGATAGAGTGCCAGAATTGACAGAAAAATCTGCTGAGGCTCTTGCAACGACATTCTTAATGGACGTTCCTGGCACAGGGAAGTGCTTGAAAGTTGATCCTTCCGAGCCTCCTGTGTTGATTGGGCTCTCAGGTGGCTGGGGACTCGACGGCGACACTGCGAAAGGATTGGTTTGGTCAGATTTTACTTGGGGCTGTTTCTTTGTGTCCACACTTTGGGAGATAATCCGTTCTGATGCATGAATGAGGACGGTTGGCCCTGGGCTTGGCTGAGTATATTCGGAGTTCCGCAACTCTATTCCAACCGTAGTGGGCGAGTGAGGAGTGAGGTGAGCGTTGTGAGCGATGAAAGAGGGAAGTGATGTAAAACCAGGATTTTCACTCTTCGAATAGTCATGGCGTCGTTCGGTATTTTCTCCATGCGTCAGCTGGTCTACCATGAGCAAGGCGTCCATATAAGGCAAGTGGGGAGCGTTAGGAGCGCTTGAAGAACCGCGTGACGAAAACCCAGGTGGTGGACCTCGTGTGCGAGACGAAGAGTGAAGGGCATCAGGTGGTTGAGCAACGTCTCGTGTCATATGCTGAAGCGATGACTTCGGAAATGCCGTCTTTCGCGCAGAAGGGAGGCGCGCTTGGAGGTTCGGTTTTTCCCAATATACGCATGGCCTTCTGTAAGTAAACTCATGTGGCACTTCGTCTTGAGGCAGTTGTCGATGCGCGCTGGGCTTTCGAATGGTTGAGGACTGCTTAGGAAATCGACGATAGTGTGCGGTTGTCTCTAGATGGTTGGCAATGAGTAGGTCTTGGTCATAGTCATTAAAACGGGTAATCATCTCCTCTTAGATTTTTTGCCATGACTCATTGTTCTCGAATATGTGAATTAGGTAAAATTTGAATGCCTCACCGGTGACGTAGTCGCTGAAGTTCGTAACCATCTCCCGTTCCGACCAAGATGCAGCGGTAGCGTGGAGTTCGAACAGGTTGAACCAGTCCTGTACGGGTCCGTCGTCCGCTGATCCGGTGTACTTGGGGATGTCGAGGTCAGCCGATGGTTTTGTGATGGTGCTGGTCGTTGTCCTCCTAGGCGATGATTCGGTAGTCAATGTACGGTCAGGGCGTCTTCTGGGGAACTGCGTCGATGATGAGGGACTGATGAAGGGGCCGGCAGGTCTCCATCCTGTCGACTCGTGTGACGCTATGATGAATGGGAGGCGTGGCCTGGCTCATACGCCATGTTTATTCTACTGTCACTTCTTCCTCATCTACTTCTCCTAACCATCCCTGCCTTCTTACGTCACACACACACACGCATATATATATATATATATATATATATATATATATATATATATATATATATATATATATATATATATATATATATATATAGATAGATAGATATATACATAATATCTGGAATTCCACCGCATCCCTGCGCCCTGCGAAGGACTCAGGAAGGCAGACGAGACAATCCTCAGCCTATTCACCAGTACGCTACTGTGCGCAGCAGCGCTGAGCACAGTGACTCTTCATTTTTTGGTCTCTGGCAGTACTGTGTGGAGGTGGCCGACACCTACCACGTGGTATCAGCATACCAGCTCAATCCTTCCTTACCTCCAAACCCTGACCCAGCCGGAGAGGACTGGGAAGGAGGCCTGCTCGGCGGCCAGGACTTTCCAGCCCAACAAGCCATGCTTCGGCGTTCCAAAACGGCTCCGCCTGGTACTGTGAGGGAGCTGATCTACTATAAAGGGGCTGGTTTTCCGAACCTTCTCTTTGTAATTATCAGCTTAATAAATGTTTACTGCCACCACCACCGTTTGCATTTCTTTTCGAACTACCTCACTATCTGAAAATATGTGTGCGCTTTAGCAGAAAATGACTATATTCATACCAATTAGCTTTACCACCAACGCAATCTAAATAGCTTTTAATGAAGCGATAAATGTTCCATGGAAATTACCATAATGTAAAATCGTCATACTTTCCCGTCACACTATTCATTTTCTGCGTATACTTAAGCCCTGCAAAAACATTCCAGCACCATCTGAATTATGTGACCTGTCTCCCAATACTTCGTGGAATATGCATGTATCATATGTGTGACTAAGACCACCATCGGGATGATCGGTTATGTGCGTCTAAACGTCTCCACGGCCTTATTGCGTCTGCAGTACTAGCAATCATGAATCGCTCCATGAGCTGGGCGAAAAACAGATCCCGCGGAAAGGCGACACTTGTATGAACGCTTCAGCGAAAGCTTGCAATCGTGAGCGACTGAGGGAGTTTAGAAAAAGAGCATGATTCGACCATTTTCTCAAGCACCCTTTTCAATCAGTGAGTGAGCATCTCTATGAAAGACAGTTATGGAAAGCGTGGGCGTGTGCTCACTCTTTGGAGCTGCTGCCACCTGCTGTTTAACGTGAAACTGCTCATAGCACGTCACTGCCCAATCGCCTACAAAATTCGAGAGTGGCGTTAGGATCAGCTGTGATTCTTGCCACGGGGTTACACTGCGGGCTAACCAGCCATTTCACAGAAAATCATTTTATCTTACGATTTCTTACGAAGTCCACCGTAATGGGCGCAATGTTGCACGCTCCCCGTCGGAAATCATCAAGGATGGTTCATTGATGCGCGGGGACGCCAACACGTTGTAGCACGAATCTCCGTAATCAATCGTTTGTTCTGGGAAGAAACGCTCTCTGTAACAAGCTTCCATCCGCATAAGCCGGCATAACGGATGAGCACGATTACGATGTAATTTCTCAAATATTTTATTTTTATCAGCTGCAAGTCTTACTCCTTTTTCCCTCCCTTCTTTGGCCCCTTCAGGCCCGAAAAATGAAATCAAATGATTAAACCGCTGCGTTAATTCTTTGAAATCAAACCTCGTCCCGCTTTTGTCTATTTTTTCCCCTTCATCGCGTTTCCTCTTCACCCCTCTGTTGAATGCTGTTCAAACAAAAGCGCATATATATAACAAAATGGGGGTGGTTCATCGCCATTTTTTCTTTTTTATTGTAGTCCTGAATATACTATGTGGTACGCCTACAAAAACTATTACTATGCTAGGCCTGCACCTACTACTACTACTGTTAATACTTGTACTAGTTCAGTTTACCGGGTTTTACCCGTCGCTCAAGGCAAAGGCAGAGAAGTGTGACCACTGCAACCCTTATTTCAGCCGCGTTTTTCTTGAACGGGCGCGCACGCTTGCCTTCGCGCATACGCGTCGGCAGAAATTGTTTTAGAAGGTGCAAACCCATGTTGCATTTCGACTAGGGGAGGTGGGGAAAGCTCGTACACCATTAGGGAGGGGGGTATCGTGGCAAATTCTGGTGTCGCTTTAGGGAGGGAATCGTCCCTTGTGCAGCCCCCTGCCGACGCCCATGCTCTCGCACTAGTGATCCCATGCCGATACTACAATTTTACTTATTGTTGGGCGGTGCTAAAACAAAAGCGTAGAATTTGCTCTTACGTATGATCCGGGGAGATGCTGCCGATGTTCCTCCTGGAAACAGAAAATAAACAACAAAATTTTTATTGATTGCGTTCTTGTATACAGAAGCGACAGTGTGGGACATGTTTTAGGATAATAAGTGAGGACTACCTAGCTACATGTCGTTGCTTTCTGATGCTGTTTCACGCTAAGACGACATTACACATCTGTTATCCGTAGGTCCGGTCACCTAGCAAGTGATAAGATATGAAATAAAGACTAGAACGGCAGAGGCGGTCCCTCAAAAGTTCACCGCCAGCAACATCGGCATGTACTATCGGCATCAAATGAAACGCGAACAGCGGAGCGCGTGGCACAAGCCTTATCAATGGCAGTGCGCGCCGTCCACCAGTCATTGACACAGACATGCCCGCACATCTGGTGTGGCAGCACTGCACGGTCCCTCTACAGTGCAATATTTCTGCTTGTTTTCCAGGCATGGTATTTGAAAGGAACAAAATAAAAAATACAGAGATTAAACTACTGCAGCCGAAGGCGAGTATTGTAGCACGGTTTGTCATCACAGAGTCAATCATCACGGAATGCCTCGCGAATTCTATTTATAGTAGACAAAGGTCGCTTCACAATGCTTACGATTTCACGCTGTTTCACTTCGTGCCGGTAAAGCAAGATAATTTGCACGCTCTCTTCTAAAAAAACACTCGGCATTTTCAGTTAAAATGAAGCCTTTTCGGGTCGTTCTCTGAAAGAAGGGTGTAGGTGAAGCAGCGCTGGCGAACGAGATACGACAATCGTTTGAAAATCAACCGCAAACCGATTATATTTCTCTTTTTCTTTAGCGTGCCAAAACACCGGTTGCACTGCGACGCTGCAGTAAAAGCAAGGAATTGCGAGTGATACGATCACAAGCGCTCGGTACGCCCACGATTTCCACCATTGTCACCTTACGAAAACTATAGTAGAAACGGAGATAACGCACTCTAGGTGGATCGCGTAGTGCTGCCAAACCGGATGTGCACGCCTGTCAATGGTGATGGCTGGACGGCCACCACTACACTGTTTCTAATGCTTGAAACACGCGCTTCGCTGTTCGGGTCTCATTTGATACCGATAGTACGTTTCCTTTCTCGCCAGTGATGTGACACCAGTGATGTTCTGTGAATACAATAGACGATAATATGTAGGGAGTGGAAACGTTTCGACATGTGTTTTCCGTACATGCACAAGCGCTGCAGCACCTTGCTGCTGTTTCGCAAAAAGCTGCCACCTTATCCGGCGTTTGAAATAGCTTCCCCTTTCGAACAAACAAAGCGTTTATGTTCATTGCGTACCTTTATATTGACAAATCATGTGTAGCTTATGTTACAATCTGTTGGCCCGAAATAATGACACCATGAGCGGTGCCCAAGAGAAGGAGCGGGATAGGCAGCTCAATCTCCCCCACAATACTTCGTAATTTCACTTATGTATGCCTATCTTTACATTCAATTCACATACACAGGCGCGCGCACGAACATACATAAATTATGGTTGAACCCCCGCCCCCCCCCCCCCTTCGAAAAAAATTGGCAATTACCACGTACAGTGGGAATCGATGATATGCGAATCACGAATAAGGAAGGTTGATAGGTCACTTTAACATCAGCACAACGTTCAGAGGTGAAGGTAAATTATGCGGCACATGACTCCTATGGCATGATTATCATGTTTGGACGTTTCCTTTACCTTCGTCATCTATTAACGTCACATGATACCAACTTTGGATATATGGAGATAGCGAAATGGCCGCGAGCGTGCTATGAGCGTAGCATCTATAGTCATGTTTTGCATAAAATCCATATCATGTTTATCATAATTGGGCGCACCATTTACATCCATCGTCCATTCGCGTCACGTAATACCAAACTTGGCATATGTGGAACTAGTGAAACGGCTGCGATAATGCCACGAGCGTAGCATGTAGTCATGTTTTACATGAAACGCATATTATGACTATCAGCTGTTTGTACGTGTCATTCACTTCCGTCGTATATTCACTTCCCGTGATGCCGAATTGGGTACATGTGGAGCAAGCGCAACAGTGGTGAGCGCGTCAAGAAGAGCCCAATATACTCCTACGCAACGTTGCCGCATGCGAAGGTACGGCGCAGCAACGCCAGCAAAATACCAACACTCTACAGTGTGACGTCAGGCGTGACCGGTGCGACCAGCGTCCGTCGCCTCGGCCCGGTGGCAAGCGGCGCAAAATGCGACATGCTGCATTTCACGCCGACGGCGTTACTTACAGCACCGCGCCTGCCTCTATTCATGACGGAGGGACGCCGCGTGCGCTCAAACGCGCGTGCGTCAAAGGAACGCAGCGCGGCGCGTGCCTGCGAGTATATGGCATGCAGCTCCACAATGAAAATCAGTGCACAGATCCACTGATCTCTACTAGGGAAGTTTCGGCGCCTGGCGTGGCATCGCGGGTGTGACGCGATAAAACTAACGCCGCAGTGTATTGGTGCCTTGAGTTTGGTGTATATTATTGTCTTTACTTGACACTAATTTTAAGATTATCAAGTTTGCACCAGCCACATACCTTCGTCATCTATTCACTTGACGTAATGCCAAATTTTGGCATGTGTGATGGTAGCGAAACGGCCGCGAGCGCATGATGAGTGTGGGGCGTAGTCATGTTGTTATATGACACGGATGTCATGTTCGTCATGTTGGGACCTCTCATTTACCTATGTCGTTCGTTCGCGTCACGTAATACCGAATTCGCTACATGCGAAGCTATAGCGAAACGGCCGCAAGCGCATCGAGAGCGTCGCATGTAGTCATGTTTTTACATGACACGCACCTCACGATTATCATGTTTGCACCAGTCACATACCTTCGTCTTCCATTCACGTCCCGTAATACCAAATTTCGTTCATGAGAAGCTAGCGAAACGGCCGCGAGCGCATCATGAGCATGGTATGTAGTCATGTTGTTGTATGACACGCATCTCATGATTATCATGTTTGCATCAGTCAAATACCTTCGTCATGCATTCACGTCCCGTAATACGAAATCGGTATATTTTAGCTGCGTTAGCCTGAGGAATTTTAAGGCCCTCTTAGAGCCACCTATCATGATCATTGTTCGCATCACTTGTCAACTGACCTGGCGCTCTTTGGCCATCCAATGGCCCTTGCGCCATAAAACATCACACATCATCACCAAATCGGTATATGCAAAGCTAGTGATACGGCTGCGAGCACATTATGAGCATGGCATGCAGTCATGTTGCTAAATGACACGCATGTCATGATTTTTATGTTAGGGACTGTCGCTTGTGTTCGCCATGCTGTCATGCCATACCATACCAGTTCTGCCGGATATCATGTAAATGAAACCACCGCAAGCGCGGCAATACCGTGACATGTAAATTATGACATTTATGACACGCATGTCATGATTTTCATTATACGACTAGCTAAATATGTTCTTCATACAGTCATGTTATGCCATACCAAGTTTGGTATCTATACCATTATCCAAACAGCCAGGAGAGCTAAAAGCCGTAGGCGGCTAGATAGATAGATAGATAGATAGATAGATAGATAGATAGATAGATAGATAGATAGATAGATAGATAGATAGATAGATAGATAGATAGATAGATAGATAGATAGATAGATAGATAGATAGATAGATAGATAGATAGATAGATAGATAGATAGATAGATAGATAGATAGATAGATAGATAGATAGATAGATAGATAGATAGATAGATAGATAGATAGATAGATAGACACGCTTAAAGTCCCAGAAGTTCGCCAAGAAACGCTTCGCACTTAAAAATTCTAGGTGCACCCCTACGGGACAAATTGTGTTTACACGGAGTGGCTTTCTCGTTGTGTTTTAGACTAGACTTCGTAATCCTTCGGAAGTGGCAGTGATTCGGCCATTCAGCCACTGTAAATGAGCTTGATTGTAGTGTTTTTTTTTAGAGGAGCCTTAACAGTCATTGTCGTAACTGCGGTTGCAGCCCTCTTTTCAATCAGTGTGGGATAGTGGTTAGCCATGCTTTCATTAACCCGCGACATTATACAAGTGGAACATGTACACAAATTAAGCGACAGATACGTAAGCATTCTGTGCCTGGCACATACGGTTTGTACGAACATGTGCACGTGCTGTGATTTGACCGTGGATGTATTGAATGGGCTTGCATTTATCCTTGCCTTTACGTATATATTCCTACATTCTGCAAAACGAGCCGGTTGGAAATCAACGCTCTTGTCTATTCTGTAGCAATTTTTCGCACGCTCGCGCGTTGTGAAATTCGTCATCACAAACCAAGACCGACAATACCACGCTTCTACACTTGTAAGCGTATACTATTCGCGCTCATCACGCCCACGTAGAGCCAGATAATGAGCTTGTTACTCACTCGTATGAACTTGGAGTGACCGTCGAAGAGGAAGCTTGTCCGGAATGCGCGGCGGAGCGCGTTTGTCGCCTGCCGGCGGCCATGACCACTGACCCGTCGTCTGCACAACCGATGTCGCTGGCACACCAACGCGCTGGACGTCAAGGGGCACCGCGGGATCGTGCATGAAAGCAATATGCATTATAAGTACACGTAGTTTGTGTGCGCAGTCGGTGTCAAAGGTTAGACCACTAAATTTCAAAAAACAAAAACAAAAACAAAGTTTGCAGACACTTTTGACTTTTGTTGGCCGAACAGCCCAATATATGTTAGCGTGTTCTGCAAAACGCCGCCGACATTATATTCAGGGCTGCCTGCCAAAGCAGCTCTGAAATTCAGCTTTTACTTGCGTCTCGTTGTCCTGAAATTGTCGACGTTAACTCTACAGCTCTACGATTCTACTGCTCACGCACATCGCGCCATCTACCGGACGTGGTCGTTGGCCAAAACGGAACCTAATGGGAACTCGATGAAATATATATATATATATATATATATATATATATATATATATATATATATATATATATATATATATATATATATATATATATATATATATATATATATATATATATATATATATATATGATATGGCACAACGGGAGCGTTGTCAACAAGGATAAATATATTTATTTCCCAACAGTTTCTGGATAAAGATGCTCATAGCCAGCGCTTCGTCCCCGCTGATGACTGTTTTATTCCTCCAGGCAATGAGCATCATCAGATAAGATCAGTACTGGTGATGTGTTCCTAGCACCGTGTGGACGCTACATCTCTGGTGGGCTTACCGTCGGTCCTAGCCTGGTGCGCTTTTATGATGGCAGAGCATTAGTTACGGCAGTTAACCCTACTTCTTTGCCTGTTGCACTGCCCCAGGGCACCAGTATGGTTTGCTTCACAGACACCGAACCACTTTCTCTGGTGCCCCTTCACGCAGACGCACCATCTTTCTCTACGAGTACTGATGATGATGCTACGACGGCTGCTTTAACAGCCACAATAAATCCTGATCTCACGTCAGCGCAAAAGCAAGAACTTTTGGGTATCTTTCAAAAACACAGTGCTTCATTTGATGTAAATTCCAAGCCTTTGGGTCGCACTTCCGTCACCATACATCGAATTGAAACGGAAGGCAATACAATTGTACACCGCCGCCCATATCGAGTGTCATCCGCAGAGCGGAAAATCATCGAGAACAACGTTGTTGATATGCTCAAACGAGATGTTATCCGGCCTTCGTCCAGCTCGTGGTCATCCCCTGTAGTGCTAGTCCGAAATAAGGACGGTTCGGTGCGATTCTGTGTCGATTATCGAGCACTTAATAAGATCACGCGAAAAGACGTGTACCCGATCCCACGAGTCGACGACGCACTTGACTCTCTGCACGGCGCTGAATTTTTCTCCAGCCTGGATTTACGGTCTGGTTATTGGCAAATACCTATGCACGAAGCGGTCAAAGAAAAAAAAAAACTGCATTTGCAAAACCAGACGGGCTGTATGAATTTAACGTGATGCCATTCGGTTTATGTAATGCTCCTGCCACGTTTGAACGCATGATTGACACAGTTCTACGCGGCCTAAAATGGAAAAACATGTCTCTGTTATTTAGATGACATCGTCATTTTCTCCACTTCTTTTCGTCAGCAACTTGATCGTTTAGACGAAGTTTTGACGTGTATTTATAGTGCTGGACTTCAGCTAAACACAAAGAAATGCCATTTTGCCAACAAGAACATCAAGGTATTGGGCCACCTTGTCAGCAAAGATGGCGTTCGCCCGGATCCTGACAAGCTTGCTGCCGTGATACGCTTCCCTCGGCCAGAAAATCAGAAACACCTACGAGGTTTCCTGGACCTGGCGTCCTACTTCCGCCGCTTCATCAGCCATTTTGCTACCATCGCGTCGCCACTGCATAAGCTGCTGACATCTGGATCAACTTTCGCTTGGAACGACGACTGCGAGCATGCCTTTCAAGCCCTAAAGCATGCTTTAACATCCGACCCTGTTCTGTGCCTTTTCGACGAGAACGCACCTACATGTCTCCACACCGACGCGAGTGGCCATGGCATTGGTGCAGTTCTTCTACAACGGGATGCCACTTCACGGGAAAGAGTTATTGCGTATGCTAGTCGTGCTCTTGCGGCTTCTGAACAGAACTACTCCATAACTGAGCAGGAGTGCCTTGCTGTCGTTTGGGCCGTACAAAAATTTTGACCGTATCTTTACGGACGCCACTTCACAGTGATTACAGACCATCACGCCTTGTGCTGGCTATCGTCACTGAAAAACTTGTCTGGTCGCCTCGGTCGTTGGGTGCTCCTCCTACAAGAATACAATTTTGACGTCATCTATAAGTCTAGCAAAAAACACCAAGATGCAGATGCTCTCTCTCGCTGCCCCCTTCCACTGTCATCATCGAGTACGTCAGGTGATTGCTCGTCTGGTGGGCGAAACTCTGCGTCACCCCTCACATTATCACAACTTGCGGTTATCGACACGCCGGCTTCAAATCGCTACACCGAGTTCGCCACACGCCAGCGTGATGATCCATATTGCAATAGCATTACTCAATGCCTAAATGGTATATCATCTACTCCTAATGCTAGATTGCGCCGACAACTACGGCAATTTAAGCTCGATAACAATGTGCTCCATCGTTACGCTTACACTACTGATGGATACCGCTGGGTTCCAGTACTTCCGCGTTCTCTACGTCACCAAGTCCTCGAAGCCTTTCACGACGACCCATGTGCAGGCCACTTGGGATTTCAGAAAACACAAAGCCGCATCAGGAAACGTTTCTTCTGGCCTGGCATCTCTACCTTTGTGGCCAAATACGTTGCATCTTGCCATCTGTGCCAACGGCGGAAGCGGCCAACTTTGTCTCCTGCCGGCCTTCTGCAACCCATCCCGTGTCCCGAGACTCCTTTCGCCATCGTTGGCATAGACCTACTAAGACCTCTCCCCATCCCACCAGCAGGTAATCGTTGGATTGTGACTGCTGTCGATCACCGTACACGGTACGCAGAGACTGCTGCACTACGCACAAGTTCTGCTTCAGACGTCGCAGAGTTCTTTCTCAACGCCATTGTATTGCGCCACGGTGCACCTCGCGTCCTGCTGAGTGATCGCGGGAAAACGTTCTTGTCCACCATAATCGAAACCCTGCTCACAACCTGCGGTACAGTAAACAAGACGACGTCAGCCTACCACCCCCAAACTAATGGGCTGACAGAGAGATTTCATCGGACACTAACAGACATGCTATCGATGTACATCGCACCAAACCACGACAACTGGGATACAATTTTGCCTTTTGTGACGTTTGCCCATAACACCGCTGTTCAAAGAACTACTGGCTACTCGCCTTTCTACCTCGTGTACGGCCGTTCACCGACATCCACCACCGACGTCTCTTTCCTAAATGTTCCAACTGACGCCTCGGCAACCGTATCAGAGCAGTTCATCACAAGGCTCGAGGAATGTCGGCAACGGGCTCGCCTTAATACAGAAGCCAATCAGCAAGATCGCAAGCAGCGCTACAACAGCTCTCATCGCGACGTCTCCTTCAGTCCTGGGGATGAAGTGTTGCTTTGGACGCCCATCCGTACTCCAGGATTGTGCAATAAATTTCAGTCACGCTTCATTGGACCCTATACAATCAATGAACAAACATTACCAGTGAACTGCCGTGTCATTCCCAGTGACTTTTGTTCGGATCGTTGCTGTCGCGGTTCGGAGATTGTCCACGTATCGCGTCTGAAGCCATTCGTTCGACGTTCCGTTTCCGTCTAAGACGCGTCCGGGCTGGCCGCTCAAGCGTGGGGGGGGGGGGAATAAGTGTGAGCATTATTCATGCGCGTCAATTTATCATATGTACATACTCATCATCATCAGCCTGACGTGTGTTGTGGGGCAGAGGCTTGACAAGTAAAAGAAGTGTCTTGCAGCCGAAACGTTCCTTAATATATATATATATATATATATATATATATATATATATATATATATATATATATATATATATATATCACGGCGCACCGGCGATTGGGCACGGCGGCACCGGCGAAATGACGGTCACTAACCCGTTTGTCTTCATCGTGCAGTTGTCCATCGGTCTTCTTGCATCCGTGGGTGATGTACGTGCTATGCCAGCACGATTGCCCGGGTACGCGCCGGACACAAGCTTCGTCAACTTCCACGTGACGGAGATAACATGCCCGGCGCCTTGGGACTGCCAGCCCAGATCCGTGACCAGGACCACGTGTGAAGATCTACGTCACCAGCACCCAGCGCCGCCTCACAGTGCGCCTATAAGTAGCCTGCCTCCTCGCAGTGCGTCCATTGGGCACGGCGGCACCGGCGAAATGACGGTCACTAACCCGTTTGTCTTCATCGTGCAGTTGTCCATCGGTCTTCTTGCATCCGTGGGTGATGTACGTGCTATGCCAGCACGATTGCCCGGGTACGCGCCGGACACAAGCTTCGTCAACTTCCACGTGACGGAGATAACATGCCCGGCGCCTTGGGACTGCCAGCCCAGATCCGTGACCAGGACCACGTGTGAAGATCTACGTCACCAGCACCCAGCGCCGCCTCACAGTGCGCCTATAAGTAGCCTGCCTCCTCGCAGTGCGTCCATTGGGCACGGCGGCACCGGCGAAATGACGGTCACTAACCCGTTTGTCTTCATCGTGCAGGTAAGAAGACAATACGATTACTGTATACGTTCTGGTGACCCATTTTTGCTGGTGCTGCCGTGCCCTCGGCTTTGCTGTGCATTTGCGAGTGTGTTGCTATTTTTAAGAAAGCTTCTTTTGCTAGCAGGAGATATTGAAAGTAATCCGGGACCTGATCTAGCACAAATCGCAAAGCAGTTGAAGGAAGTTGCCGTCGATATCAAAGAAATTAAAGAGGGGCGGCTTGCTGATATGGATAAAAAGTTAGATGCCCTGTCGCGCCTTGAACCGAAGATAACTTCATGCGTAAAACAAATAGAAGACATGCATCTGATTACCAAAAATTTGGAAAA